TTGGACTCGTGTGAACTTAATATATTAATAGGGCAACATTCAATCTAGCCAAACTATTTCTGCAACACTAATTTTCGTGATGTCACAATGTGTTTTTCTTTGGTTTAAGGTATTCAGTTATATATTTAGGTAATATTGTTTTGTGCTAAGTCAGTAGGCTATGTATGTTTTCATTGACACCAAAATAGTGTGTGTAATGTGTAGCTATTAATGTACTTGTAGCCACATCTTTAATAGGGTTTTTGTTGCCCCTTGTTGAGGCATGAAGGACTGTTCTCTCACAGGAAGGCTTTTTGTTTGTTTGTCTTTTTGAGCTAATAGGGGAAGGAGAATGTAGAGCCAAGCCACAACCATACTCTCCTTAATCCACTCCATTCTCTTTTCTCCCAGCTATGCTGCCAGAGTGCACTAAGGGTTTAGAAGAGCAGCAAAAGATGAATAAATCTCTGGTGAGTTTTTTGGTTATTTCTCACTCTTTTTTTATTGTATTATGTGAGCTTTATGGCATGCACAAATGAAAATTGAAAAGTACAAATGAGTAAAACTTGACTTGAAAGAAATGTGCATTCAGAAGATAAAGTTAGCATGTAGATATAGCAGTTTGTAAGAGCTCAGAGTCATCTAAGTTGAATAAGAATTTTCTCTGGTCTTTGTGATGTCATAGAAAACAGGCAGACATCTTGTTTACGTGACTGGAATGGAACCTGAGAAGAGAATTGCCAAATTCTCTTGGGATGTGGAGACTTGGTGGCAGCAAATTCTGCAACACCATCAATATTAGAAAGTTTTTCACTGCTGACCTGGAAATCAACATTTCTCACTTTCTGCAGTGGAAATAGTTACCTAGTTCTAAGGCATAAGTTGCTTAGGAAGCTTTCTATAATGTTTCTAAAATAAATCTAGTTCCAGATGGCTTTGGAAGACTGTACTAGATTCATAGGTAAAACCTAGAGTTATAACATAAATTATAGCCAAATCCAATGAGTATTCTCTAGTCTTTTTCTAACTTGAGACTTCTGCTACATTTTGAATTACTGTTCATGATATTCTCCTGGAAATTCCTCTGTGTTTGTTTATTAGTTTCTCTCATGACTTCACTGATGGTTTTTGCTCTGTTCTCCTGAATTATTCTGCTTTCTGTTTTACAACGTAGCTTATCAAAGTGCTTCATCCTGGGCCCTGTTCTTCTCATGTGAAATTCTTTTTCACTGATTCAGTCCTCTGTATTTTTCATTCCCCTTTCTCTCCAGGTTGTACTTCTTCCCTAGTCTATTGATGTTAGGTTGAACTCTGTTGAATGCTTGTTTGTAGCTATTCAAAATGCACCTCAAGGGGCTGGATTGTTAGCTCAGTTGTTTAGATCATGGTGTTTTAACATCTAGGTCGAGGGTTCAGATCTCTGCACGAGCCAGCTGCCAGGAAAAACAAAACAAAACATCACCTCAAGGTCAACAAACTTAAAATTAAAACCACTTCCCCTTCTTCTGTTATATGTATTGCCACTACTGCCCCACCACTGACACAAGCCACCAAAATGAGATTTCTCTTGGACTCTTCCCTTTCTTGGGTCTAATTTGGTCTTGTGTTAACTTCCTACTACTTTTGCTTGTTTGGTCTTTTTATTTTATTCTAAGTTCTATATACACTGCCAGTATAGGGGGAGGTGTTTGTACTCATAAAGACAGTAACTTTGTTCCACTGGAAATATCATTCTTGTAAAAACCTGAAGGTAATGTTTGCTGGACTATGAGGTTCAATCCCTGGTGACCTATGCTTCTAGCCAGCATCTGTGGTGACATCCTTAGGAGTCCATGTGGAGAAAGCCTTCAGGAGTTACTGGGGCATGTTTGAAGAATGGTCAATAAAAAGACATGAAATAATAAAAACAGAAAGTACAAATTTTCATGTCAACCTTTTGCTTCTATAAATTTACATTAGTGATTCTATTTGTAGTTTTTATAATATACAGTTATCTGTTTGTTGTTTTATGCTACACAATGTCTCTACTCTGAGCTGGAAAAACTCTAATGGCTGGGAACACTGAGCAGACATCCAGCCTCTCTTTGTGGCCATGTTGGACTTCCTCACAGAGTGGCATTCTCAGGGTAGTCAGGTTTGTCTGGCTTCTGCCAGAGCTAGTGTCTAAGAGTCCCAGGCAGAAGCTACAAGGATTCTTGTTGTCTCCACTTGGATACCAAAGCATCTCTTCCAATGTATTCTTTTAGTCAAGCACATCACTAAGACCAGCCTTGATTTAAGGTAATGGCAATTAGATTCCACCTCTCAGTAAGAGGAATAGCAAGACTTTGCAGCACTGTTTAATAGACCACAGTCTGCTCTCTGACCATAAATTTCTGCCACATGCAAAATATACTTTGCCCCTCTCAAGAGCCCTAGAAATATTCTGCCATTCTGCAGTTGACAAAAAGCCAAACTAAATAAGCTACAGTGTCCTGTCATCTTGTTAACCCACACCCAGCTTACAGTAAACTGATGGGCATGACCACGTGTGCACTTTCCTTCCGACAGGGTTGGTGAGAAGGGACAGCACCCTGAGGGCACTGGTCTGAGTGGTTACTTATTCCCCTCAGGCACCTGCTTTAGTATCTCATTAGGGTCCAGTACTGGTCCTTGGAAAAGATGCTTTGTGCCTCTTCACTCTGTCCTCTGGGCTCTCACNTTGGACTCGTGTGAACTTAATATATTAATAGGGCAACATTCAATCTAGCCAAACTATTTCTGCAACACTAATTTTCGTGATGTCACAATGTGTTTTTCTTTGGTTTAAGGTATTCAGTTATATATTTAGGTAATATTGTTTTGTGTTGTGCTAAGTCAGTAGGCTATGTATGTTTTCATTGACACCAAAATAGTGTGTGTAATGTGTAGCTATTAATGTACTTGTAGCCACATCTTTAATAGGGTTTTTGTTGCCCCTTGTTGAGGCATGAAGGACTGTTCTCTCACAGGAAGGCTTTTTGTTTGTTTGTCTTTTTGAGCTAATAGGGGAAGGAGAATGTAGAGCCAAGCCACAACCATACTCTCCTTAATCCACTCCATTCTCTTTTCTCCCAGCTATGCTGCCAGAGTGCACTAAGCTGCCAGAGTGCGCTATGGGTTTAGAAGAGCAGCAAAAGATGAATAAATCTCTGGTGAGTTTTTTGGTTATTTCTCACTCTTTTTTTATTGTATTATGTGAGCTTTATGGCATGCACAAATGAAAATTGAAAAGTACAAATGAGTAAAACTTGACTTGAAAGAAATGTGCATTCAGAAGATAAAGTTAGCATGTAGATATAGCAGTTTGTAAGACCTCAGAGTCATCTAAGTTGAATAAGAATTTTCTCTGGTCTTTGTGATGTCATAGAAAACAGGCAGACATCTTGTTTACGTGACTGGAATGGAACCTGAGAAGAGAATTGCCAAATTCTCTTGGGATGTGGAGACTTGGTGGCAGCAAATTCTGCAACACCATCAATATTAGAAAGTTTTTCACTGCTGACCTGGAAATCAACATTTCTCACTTTCTGCAGTGGAAATAGTTACCTAGTTCTAAGGCATAAGTTGCTTAGGAAGCTTTCTATAATGTTTCTAAAATAAATCTAGTTCCAGATGGCTTTGGAAGACTGTACTAGATTCATAGGTAAAACCTAGAGTTATAACATAAATTATAGCCAAATCCAATGAGTATTCTCTAGTCTTTTTCTAACTTGAGACTTCTGCTACATTTTGAATTACTGTTCATGATATTCTCCTGGAAATTCCTCTGTGTTTGTTTATTAGTTTCTCTCATGACTTCACTGATGGTTTTTGCTCTGTTCTCCTGAATTATTCTGCTTTCTGTTTTACAACGTAGCTTATCAAAGTGCTTCATCCTGGGCCCTGTTCTTCTCATGTGAAATTCTTTTTCACTGATTCAGTCCTCTGTATTTTTCATTCCCCTTTCATGTTGGTATTGACAAAGACAGTATCTTTGTTCCATTGGAAACATCATTCTTGTAAAAACCTGAAGGTAATGTTTGCTGGGTTATGAGATTCAATCCCCAATGACCTATGCTTCTAGCCTGGACCTGTGGTGACACCCTTAGGAATCTATAGGGAGAAAGACTTCAGGAGTTATTGGGACATGTTTGAACAATGGTCAATAAAAAGACATGAAAATAATAACAACGGAAAGTACAAATTTTCATTTGCTTCTATAAATTTACATCAGTGATTCTATTTATAGGTTTTACTAATATACAGTTATCTGTTTGTAGTTCAATAAGACCCATAATGCCTTTAAGTTTTCTTACAGGATATTCTCCTATCCCAGGTAATTACTTAAAAATGAATGAGAAAAATGGATGTGTGCATTAGTCATCAGAATGTTTTTGAAGCAGAACTGCAGCTAACAGCTAGTTAACACAAAAATTGACAAAGCAGTTAATTGAACAATTGTAGTTTGAGATCTAACATAAGATTTGAAATGCTTTCTTTCTTTGTTTTGAATGTGATATTCAGTGTGAACCTACACTCTTCATGTTTCAAATCAGAGTACTACCTAAGGTCCCTAATAATTTTTTTGGTTTTCCACTTATCTGCTCTGCAACAAAGTATCTCAAAACTTCTTGGCTTAAAATAAGAACATCTTCTTATTACATGTTACAATGTTCTTGGGTCAGTAAAATAGACAGTGTGACGTGGGTTGTCTGCTATGGGATGTCTCTGCTCTGAGCTGGAAAAATTCTACTGGCTCATAAAATTGAGCAGAATTCCAGTGCTCTCTTTGTGGCTATGTTGGACTTCCTCACAGACTGGCATTCTCAGGGTAGTCAGTTTTGTCTGGCTTCTCCTAGAGCAAGTGTCCAAGAGGCCCAGGCAGAAGCTGTAAGAATTCTTGTTATCTCCACTCAGATACCAAGGCATCTCTTCCAATGTATTCTCTTAGTCAAGCACATCAATAAGACCAGCCTTGATTTAAGGCAAAGGCAATTAGATTCCACCTGTCAATAAGAGGAATAGCAAGACTTTGTATCACTATTTAATAGACCACAGTCTGCTCTCTGACCATAAACTTCTACCACATGCAAAGTATACTTTGCCCCTCTCAAGAGCCTTAGAAATATTCTACCATTGTGCGGTTGACAAAAAGCCAAACTAAATAAGTTTGTGTCCTGTCATCTTTTTATTACACACCCAGCTTAGAGTAAACAGATGTCATGACCACGTGTGCACTTTTCTTCCGAGAGGGTTGGTGAGAAGGGACAGCACCCTGAGGGCACCGGTCTGAGTAGTTACTTATTCCCCTCAGGCATCTGCTTTAGTATCTCATTAGGGCCCAGTCCTGGTCCCTGGAAAAGATGCTTTGTGCCTCTTCACTCTGTCCTCTGGGCTCTCACCATTCTCTGTCAATATCTCTTTTCCTTAAATGCCTGGGTTTGCAGTTGGCTGACTTTCTTTACCTATT